CCAGAATTTCATCTTATCGTTGATTTAAAATCGTGATTGGTAACAATGTTAAGCAGTGCTCTCCGATCAGTTCGTAGTTCTCGTCATTATAACATTATCGGATCAATCAACTGAAGATTTCATTCTTTTTTCAGTTACCAAATAGGTCCAACCGGAAACCACCGCTTGTGCTCATCACGCAAGCATCCATTCACAATGCGCCAGAGGTAGAGATATCGAATAAACTATTGATGAAGCGAGGAAGGCGAAGGACTCCGAGTGGTACCCAGCCGAGCGACAGTGAATATACGACGGATGACGGTACAGTGATCGGGCATATTCTCATAAAATTAGGATAAAATCTTGATATTTCATGACATCTGTGTGGGTTTGAAAGAGAAGATACATGAGGACATTTGAGCGATTCATAAAATCATCTGAACGGATTTGTAATAACTCTCGGGGCAATCATACGCTAACGTTATTATTATTCGAAAAAGGGGGATTGCGAAATCTCAAAGTTATTATTATTATTATACTCAAGGGATCATATTAGATGTGTTGTTTCAGATAGCCGCTACGCGAATGTGGGTGAAACTGAATCAGAATTCGAGAATTCAGTTTCTGAAGCAGTTTCACTCAGGGATCAATTTAAAGGCCCGAGGCCAAAAGGTGACGAAATTTTAGATGACTTCATCAAAATTCGAAATCTGAATCCATAATCATCGTTTATTATTTCCTGACGGGAATCTAATTGGTCTATTGATTTACTGTTGNGTGAGCGCACGTAACAAGATGTAAATTTGGCTTTGACTGCTGCAAGCGGTGATGCGAGGAGAATGCTCTTAATGGTTATTAAAGGTGTGAGAGTGATTAAAGCGGATCTTAACCGTTGTACTGACAATGAGTAGATACTGAATGAGTAACAGAATGCTTCTAATGTAAAAGGTTAGGAGAGCGATTGAAATACTCTGAAAAGAATGATGGTCGGGAAATATTTCCCGAATTGGATGATGAGCACAGAAGTGGTCATGAAGTTATAACGACTCGAGCGCTTTGAGTTTCGAAAATTGTGATGCTATCAAGCCTTGAAAGAGATTAGCCACGGATGCTTATGCTGAGATGATCACAAATTAAACGAGCATGTTTTCAGGGGATCTGTACCCACTTTATCCAGCACACTCGAGGTCACAATCTCGCGATCGCTCCCGCTCCCCCTCCCCATACACGGACTATGAGAGTGATTTTGAATTGCACTTCAACGATCCACCGTCGAGGTTAGATCATCAAATTGAGCTCATCTGCGAGTGATCATCTTCCTATCCCTTCAGACGATCTCCATGTGTTCAAGTACCAGTTAAGATAGTGCATGTGAACCTGACCTGAATCGTGAAGCTGCAAGTGAATCTATAAAATAATTAGCTTGATGATATATCGAAGATTTGACCAGCTCATCAGAACAACCATCTGATCTATAGCTTATCATCAATCCAGTTTAACAGAGTACAAATCGTACTATAAATTCAAACTGATATTACCACATAAAAGTAGGAATGACATTTAGGGATGAGATAAATTAATAAGACTAACGACATTTGCCTTCCACTTGTTCAGAATAATCAAGTGAGTAAATGAATACATAAATGAACAACGTAAATGATAGCAGCAACGATAAAGGTGATGTGAACCAAAAGTGATGATGACCAGAATAAGTAATCTAGAAATGAGGATAGTCGAGGGCGTGTCTCGCAGACGATGGCCGTTCCAGCACCAATCTTCACCGCATCAGTTTGTTACGATGGTATGGACGACT